CAAAGTCATTGAAGGAACACGTCATTGTTCCAGTTATTCCAGCCAATTTGTTGGATGATGCTACTATTTACCATCTTAACCCATCTGGAAGATTCGTTATCGGAGGTCCACAAGGTGATGCTGGTCTTACTGGTAGAAAGATTATTGTTGATACTTATGGTGGTTGGGGTGCTCACGGTGGTGGTGCTTTCTCTGGTAAGGATCCATCTAAGGTCGATAGATCTGCTTCTTATGCTGCAAGATGGGTTGCTAAGTCCGTCGTTGCTGCTGGTTTGGCTAAGAGATGTTTGGTTCAAGTTGCCTATGCTATTGGTATTGCTCACCCATTGTCTGTTCACGTTGATACCTATGGTACTGCTTTGAACGGTAAGACTGATGCTGATATTTTGGCTATTGTCAATAAGAACTTTGATTTGAGACCATATCACATCATTAAGGATTTGAACTTGATGAACCCAATCTACTCACCAACTGCTGCTTATGGTCACTTTGGAAGAAGCGAATTCCCATGGGAACAACCAAAGACTCTCCAACTCTAAATTAGGAAAGCCAATAAACTAAAAAATTAAAAACAAAGAATAATATTTTACAAATGCTTATTTTTGCGAAATATTTAAAATTTGCACAAAAGTTCCACAAACGCTAATAGTTTCGTTTTCCTTACTTGGATTGTTTCGTTCACCATTTCACTTGGGCAATGCCATTTTTATTGTGTTTGGAAAGTGAACGAAACTAAGTGAACGAAACATAGCCAATAGGTAACCCAAAACACCTTTCCATCACTCAAAAAAAAAAACAAAATGCAAAAGCTTGTACCCTTGTTATTGCTCGGCTTTCTTCTGGTATCTCTCTCATTTCAACAAAGCGGTCCCAAGGCACCAGCCACATTCGCTGCTCTGCTAGACAGAAAGGAACAAATAGCAAAAATGGTGTGTTCCAACTTAACCAATTACTTTGACAACCTTGCATACAATTTGCCAAACCTTTATGATCGTGAATCCTGTTTTTACTATGATGGTTGCGACAAAAATTTAGAGTTCAAAATGCCAAAATATGGTTGTGCACTAGGCTTTAACTATGGCAATCCAGAAAAGAAATGCAGTAGTTGTAGTGCTAGATCTGTTTCCTTTGAGTATTCTGTCACATTATTTCCAACTGGTGATGATGGAATTCAAAAATATACTCCTAGAACAGCAGTTAGTATTGCTGAAGTTAGAGATTTAAGATGTGCTCTCCAAGATCTGAG